AGATAGAAGAATTGATCATTTTGAGATTTATACGTGCAAGCAAAAGCATGTTCCAAAAGACAGTAAAAAACAATTTGTGTCACTATAGTAGCCATAACCACAAGGCATGACCAAACCATCCTGTATAATCAATATGGGTATTAAGTACAGAAACTTGTACTGTACTTCCAAAATCAAAATGCTTATTAAGAGAAAACAAGATTTCCTCAATTCGTTTTTTTAAAGAAAATTTTGCCCTTAAAAATATTTTTAGATCCTCAAGGCACTCATATGTATATAGTTTTACAGCATAGAAAGCAACCCCAAAAAGCAATGTCTCTCAATGGACCTTTCCAACCGAAACAAAGTTACCCCAAACTGAACAGGAGCAAATCAGACTCCCCAACATACACAACTTCCCTGCATGTTTTGCAGCAGCAAAATTTACTGTGGCTGTCTGGATAGAAAATGAAAACTCTTTCCTCGGCCTCCCTCTCTACCTTAAAATGGGTTCTAATCCTAGCTCTGCCACAACCTTCTTCTGACATGTTGGGCAAATTACTTAATCTCCATGACTTAATCTTTGAAGAAACGATAGTAATACTTTCCCAATTTACTGGGGTAAGGATATAATTCATTAACATTTGTAAAGCTTTTTGAAATTCTGGGATGGAAGGAGCTATAGGACTGCAAATACATAGTTATTTTAACTCAAAACCAGTTTTTCAGTGAGCATCAGCAATGGATAAAATAGCTATATGGAAATGGAAATCAGATGACAAACTGAAGATTATGGAATGGCATGATCACAGATTTTGTTAAAGCTTTTTTATGCAATATGTAAATTCAGACAAGTGAGAGTTGACAGTGTCTCTCCAGCTATATAAACTAGTGAAACTGACTAGTCAATTAGTTTCAGAGTAGCAGTCATGTTAGTCTGTATCCACAAAAAGAAAAGGAGGACTTGTGGCACCTTAGAGACTAACAAATTTGAGCATAAGCTTTTGTGAGCTACAGATCACTTCATCAGACGCATGCAGTGGAAAATACAGGAGGGAGATTTTATATACACCGAGAATATGAAATAATGGGTGTTACTATACCAACTGTAATGAGAGTGATCAGGTAAGGTGAGCTATTACCAGCAAGAGAGAAGCAGGTTTTTTTTTCTCTCTGCTGGTAATAGCTCACCTTACCTGATCACTCTCGTTACAGTTTGTATGGTAACACCCATTATTTCATATTCTCGGTGTATATAAAATCTCCCTCCTGTATTTTCCACTGCATGCATCCGATGAAGTGAGCTATAGCTCACGAAAGCTTATGCTCAGTTAAATTTGTTAGTCTCTAAGGTGCCACAAGTCCTCCTTTTCTTTTAGTCAATTAATGAATATTAAATTACATTAAAAAATTTTTTTTCCGTTTTAGTAATCCAACATATTTTAACAGACAGGAAAATTTGTCATTTATATATCATTTTTAACTTTACACTCTCTGATAGAATAAAAATACATTTCACATACAAATCAATGCTTGGCATTCTCCCTAAAGCAAAGCAGGTAGGCACTGATGATAACTGAAAAACTTTGCACTGCTTCTTTGAGCCAAAACAAAGCTCTTAGGTCTAACTTTAGGCTACTAACCTTAACACTAGCTCTTTTAGATAGTAATTTAGTTTTCTCCTCATAGCTTAACTGACAAATGCAGATTTTTATAGAGCAATATTACAGCATTAACAAGTCTCTTAGAAACTTTGGTTAGTTTTTATGTACAGGATAAAACTATTATTTTGACAAAATCTAGAAAATAAAGTGATGAATCAGGTTGCTTTTACTACTCATCTTTGGTAAAAAGAAGTTGCATGAGAAAAAACATAAAAATGGTAAGTACAATTTAGTATCCATAATTTCATGTTTATGTATGCTTGTCCAGATCACAAAAAAGTGATAGCAAAAAATAAATCAATATGACCTGTATGACCAGGACATTATGGAGAAAAGATCTATTTTCAGGATGGTCCCAGGGAAATTATTAAAACTAGTTATAGAAATTAAAGATGTGTGAAGGTGCCTTTTTACAATGACAAGCCTAGAATTATTGCTGTAAAATATATTTGCAAAATATAAAGTCTTGTATATCCTCAAGCATTTCAGAAAGATATTCTGAAGTGGTCTCTCTCAAAACATTTAATAGTTTTTCCGTCATTTTTAAGACAATAGAACACAAGAACATAAGAACCGACATACTGGGTCAGATCAATTCTCCATCCAGCCCAGTATCATGTCTTCTGACATTGACCAATGCCAGCTGCTTCAGAGGGAATGAACAGAACTGGTAATCATCAAGTGATCCATCCCCTGTCATCCATTCCCAGCTTCTGTCAAGCAGAGGCTAGGGACACTTCAAAGCATCCCTGCCTATCCTAGCTAATAGCCATGGATGGACCTATCCTCCATAAACTTATTTCTTTTTTGAACCCTGCTATAGTCTTTGCCAGAGGATGTTGTGAAGGCCAAGAGTTCCACTGGTAGACTGAGCATTGTGTGAAGAAATACTACCTTTTGTTTGTTTTAAACCTGCTGCCTATTACTTTCATTTGGTGACCCCTAGTTCATGTGTTATGAGGAGTAAATAACACTTCCTTATTTACTTTCTCCACACCAGTCATGATTTTATAGACCTCTTTCATAACCCCTCTCAGTCATCTCTTTTCCAAGCTGAAAAGTCTCAGTCTTATTAATCTCTCCTCATATGGAAGCTGTACCTTATCCCTAATCATTTTTGTTGCCATTTTCTGTACCTTTTCCAATTCAAATTGGATGGGGTGACCAGATCTGCACAAGATATCCCACAAGATATGGGAATACCATGGATTTATATAGAGGCAATATGATATTTTTCGTCTTATTCTCTATCCCTTTCCTAATGATTCCCAACATGCTGTTAGCTTTTTTGACTGCTGCTGCACATCGAGTGGATGTTTTCAGAGAACTATCCACAATAACTCCAAGATCTCTTTCTTGAACAGCTAATTTAGACCCTGTTATTTCATATGTATAGTTTGGATTATGTTTTCCAATGTGCGCTACTTTGAATTTATCAACACTGAATTTCATCTGTCATTTTGTTACCCAGTCATGGGAGATCCCTTTGTAACTCTTCGCAGTCTGCTTTGGATTTAATAACTATCTTGAGTAGTCCTGTATCATCTGCAAATTTTGCCATCTCACTATTTACCCCTTTTCCCAGATCATTTATGAATATGTTAAATAGTACTGGTCCCAGTATAGACCAAGGGAACCCACTATTTACCAGTCTCCATTCTGAAAACTGACTATTTATTCCTACCCTTGTTTCCTACCTTTTAACCTGTTACCAAACCGTGAGAGGCTCTTCCCTCTTACCCCATGACAGCTTACTTTGCTTAAGAGCCTTTGGTGAGGGACTGTAGCAGGGTGGTTACTCACTCCTGCGCTGTGGGGCTTAAACACCAGCCCTGGGAGAGAGCCAGGGCTGAGGCCAAGAAAAGGTAGGCTGATTGGGGAAATGGCCGCAGCTGGGCCATGCCCCAATCAGGCCATAGCTGGGCCTATAAAGGGGCTGCTAGGCTGAAGCTTAGCCAAAGTCTCTCTCTGCGTTCAGAGAGGGAAGGGCCTGGCTGCAGGGACCTGAGGAAGTACCTAGATTGGAGCAGGGCTGAGGGGGAAAGGCCTTGGGAGCAGGGGAGCTCCGGACTGGAAACCCCCAGGCTGCGAGGCCTAGATTAGGACCTATTAAGGACTGTGGTTGCAAGGGGGCAGCCCACGGGTAGACAGAGGCAGCAGGTCCAAACCTCCTCGCCTGTGATAAGTAGTGATACACTGCAGTCTGCCCCGGGGAGCGGGGCTAAGCGATGACTGGCAGTAGCCAAGACTGAGGCAAGGTGGGGGTAGTGGGTGGGGGTTCCCCAGGGAGGGGAGACCCTCAGGGATTGTTGGGGTTTACTGCCAGGGGTCAGCACCCCAGTGGGAGGAGGCACCAGGTCCTGGGAGGGACTGGGGCTGGTGGTAAGGTAGATCACCAGACAGCAGAGGGTGCTCCAGAGGCTGAGGAGCTAATTCCCAAGGACAACCAGCAGGAGGCACCGCCGGGTGAGTCCGGATCTATTACAGGGACATTTTCAAAGGCTTTCTGAAAATTTAAGTACACTATATCCACTGGATCACCCGTGTCCACATGCTTGTTGACCCCCTCAAATAAATCTAGTAGACTATATTAGGGTTTTCAGCTTCATCAACATACATAAAAAACTAAGGTGAAATAAATGCAAAAGCTTAATTCACTGTTAAGGGTCACAGAAAAAGAAAGTTACAAAGCGAGGACACGCAAAAACCACGGTTTCAATGGCAAGGTTACTCCAGCTGTGCTACACGTGCCATATGTTGTATGGTATATATTTTAGTATACAGAGATATTAAACTATACAGTTATAAATAACAGAACCTTCCACAAACGTGTAATACAGCAGAGCTAACGTTACAAGCCAAGAAATAAAAACCCAGTTTAAACTGCTTTAAACCCTCTAAATGCTTATAGCAGCTTAGCTTGCAAGCTCCTTCTTCCAGAGATATTCGGTTTACAGAGTCTGTAAATTAATTTAATCAACTAGATACAGACATGTTCTCATGTCAATCTTTAAGCAACCAGCTAACAACTTAGTGTTGTATTAACATACTCAGTCCCATATTTTTAAATGCTCCCATCTTTTCTTAAAAACCATTTTCCCCCACCAAGCTTCCCATTAAGAACACTTTACAACATGCCACGCCTGACATTTTAAAGTTCGACCATTTGAGCTATACCGGAGACAAGAATGTAGGTGGACAGAACTATGCTTTTAAAACACATTTATAACTCCAAAACAGGTGAAAAGATTTTGCTTAAGCTTCCTAAAAAACATGAATATTTTTGAAGGTTGAATGTGTAGAAAACAATGGTGTTATAATCTATTTGAAAAGATTAATTACAGCAGTGTTATCTACCTGTAACTGGAGTTCATCGAGATGAAGTTCTGCGTATTCCCACTTTGTGATCAAGGCACTTGTGCCGCAACCCACTGGTTCCAACATGCACCACAGTCCACCCTTGAAGCAGAAATGTGCAGAGGCCACTTGAAGAAATGAAGGTTACTCACCTGTAATTAGAGGAATTTGAAATCAGCCTCTTCCCATTCACACTCTTGGGACACACTCATGGTGCAGCTTGGAACTGATAGCTCACAGTGCAGGCACCTTGATTCCAACTGAAGAATAGATGTTTTGCCCCCATCAAAAAGGGAGAGAAGCACGTGAAGACGCTCTCTCTCTCTCTCTCATTCAAAATACTGACCGCTAGTTTTTAAGGATCTACAACCTGTCCTGAAGGATGACCCAACACTCTCACAAATCTTAGGAGACAGGCCAGTCCTTGCCTTCAGATAGCCCGCCAGCCTGAAGCAAATACTCACCAGCAACTACATACCACACAACAGAACCGCTAACCCAGGAACCTATCCTTGCAACAAAGCCCGTTGCCAACTGTGCCCACATATCTATTCAGGGGACACCATCACAGGGCCTAATAACATCAGCCACACTATCAGAGGCTCGTTCACCTGCACATCCACCAATGGGATATATGCCATCATGTGCCAGCAATGCCCCTCTGCCACGTACATTGGTCAAACTGGACAGTCTCTACGTAAAAGAATAAATGGACACAAATCAGATGTCAAGAATTATAACATTCATAAACCAGTCGGAGAAAACTTCAATTTCTCTGGTCACGCGATTACAGACATGAAAGTTGCAATATTACAACAAAAAAACTTCAAAACCAGACCCCAGCGAGAGACTGTTGAATTGGAATTCATTTGCAAATTGGATACAATTAACTTAGGCTTGAATAGAGACTGGGAGTGGCTAAGTCATTATGCAAGGTAACCTATTTCCCCTTGTTTTTTCCTACCGCCCCCCCACCCACCCCCCAGACGTTCTTGTTAAACCCTGGATTTGTGCTGGAAATGGCCCACCTTGATTACCATACACATTGTAAGGAAAGTGATCACTTTAGATAAGCTATTACCAGCAGGAGAGTGGGGTGGGGGGAGAGAAAACCTTTTGTAGTGGTAAACACCCATTTTTTCATGCTTTGTGTATAAAAAGATCCTGTGTACTTTCCACAGTATGCATCCGATGAAGTGAGCTGTAGCTCACGAAAGCTTATGCTCAAATAAATTGGTTAGTCTCTAAGGTGCCACAAGTACTCCTTTTCTTTTTGCGAATACAGACTAACACGGCTGTTACTCTGAAACCTAGTTTTTAAAATCGGTTCTGAAGTAGTACTTCAGGCTCAATCCTGCGAGGTGGTGTGCACCTTCAACTCCCACGGATTGTAATGATGATCATGGCAATGTGGGAAGCCAGCTACAGACATCGTTCCCATACACACGATAGCCAGGGATGAATTCAATGCACTTTCAGGTACGCACAGAAGTCTTTTGCAAGCCACTTTTATACCCTCAATAAATGGATGCAAGTGGAAGCTTCACAGTTTTCAACTGTGACAGTCACAGGTAAACCTCTGGATTTTAAGGCACTACTTAAAATGTTTTTGGCAATGGCCCTTAAGGATGGATAATACAATTGCTGTGGCAATCCATTCATAACATAGGTAGATAAGTTAAATTCCTTTATTTTTCCAATCAGAAGTCTGAAGTCAAACCAGTCCTTATAAATTCAGCTTTAAATGTATAGCCTGTTTAACAGGTACCTTCAACCACCTCCAACCCAGCCCTTTTTTGTTCTCGTGATGAAATCTAGAATCTCACAAGGAGGCTAAATTTGGAACTCAAGCATTTTAGTTAGGTCACCTGCAACAGACTGACTACTATCCAAGAGAAATCGTATTTTTTAAAGGAAGTTAAGTTGTGCCCAGCACAACAGCATCTTCCAGATGCTACTGCAATGCAAACAACAATAACAGCAATTCATTATAATTAAATATCTGTTGAAAAAAATCCCACAACAATTAAGAACTATGGAAGTCACAAGATAAGGTTACACAGATTGTTTGGGCAACAACCTTCACACCTAATTCACACATGGAAACCATTAAACAGAAACAATACAATGATCAGCACCCTAAAAACCTTTACTCTGCACCCATAGTCATGTTACTATTTTAAGGGGAGATTCAAACCTCCATTAAAGTAGTGGTTTTATTTTAATGTGTTTTGGAGCAAGTCCTTATATGCCTTTTTAATATTAGAAATTTTGATAATTGAACTGTTGGGATATTTGAACTCAGCATCATTCACACTGTATCTTTGACTCTGATATTTGTCTAATTAGGAGAACATGAAATTACTTTCCTCATGAGGACAGAGTTCCATTTAGATGCATTTAGGCAATGCAGTGATGGCAGCTATAGCGAAATCAGAGATACTATAGATTACATTCAGATAAACGCTGAATTATCAGACGACCTTTGAAATGGAGACTCGTTTACAATTTTATGAAAAATCCAACGTATTATATAACTATGAATATGAGTAAGGTATTAAAGTTTATATGTACACTTCTGATGGCAGAGTTAAGGTTGTTAAGATTGACTGATGAAGGCTGATGATGGTCATCGAGAATCTTTCTGTTTTGTGGTCTGCACATGTGAATCAGGAGTTAAGGTTGATATCGGAATTGTTTATGTAAACATACCTTTACTTTCCTTAGTTTATGGTATTCTGGGGTTTGATTTTGATTTGCATTGAATTTAATTTTTCAGGTTTCTGTTTAGTTTCTATTTTGGTTTTTTGTCTGTCCGAAGCGGCATGTATCTGGAGGATTTTTTTGTTATTTTACAGATTTTTTTCTCTTGAATTGCACTTAGCAACATTAATATTTTTTCTTTTGTTTTTTTCTTGCAAACCTCTGATTTAATAAATATTTTACAGTGCAACTTTGCATTAAATACTCTATGTACTGCCAGAAAGGATTAACCAGACAATCAAATAGAATATAACCAATTAAAATTTTAATTGTGAGCATGATTTACACTATCCAGGAAATGGCTCATTGCACAAATGTGCACCCACTTTGCACATTCACAGCTGGATCTATGTACACAAACTGCATGCATACATATGGCTAGATGCAACTCAAACACAACTGCATGTGCTAAGCAAGCACACAATTTCTTGCCTACTTAGGTAAAGAAAACCATTAATGTATGAATGCAATGTTGCAGCGTGTTGATCCCACTCTATTGGAGAAACAAGATGGGTGAAGTAAAATTTTTTATGAACCAACTTCTATTGGTGAAAGATGAGCTTTCGAGCTACACAGAGTTTACACATGACCTGAGGAAGAGCTCTGGTTAAGTTCAAAAGCTTGTCTCTTTCACCAACCTTTTACTCATTAATGTAATATGCTAAGATTCCAGTTTAAGGTCTGGAGTCCTTAGCTCCATACTAAAGCTCCTTCCATAAAAATAAGTAAATCTTAAAAAGTTAATTAAGGGAAAACACTAGAACATAATTCCTTTCAATTCTCTGGCCTGTGTTATTTCAGGAGGTTAAACTAGTGATCATAGTGGTCTTAAAATCCATTAATCAGTTTCAGAATGGAAAGGCAAGGTGGGGGGAAATTCAAATCTATATAACTGAACCCAGCTCTATCAATTTGGTTGTGGCTGGATCTAAAACTACAAAAAGATATTTTTCAGTTCTGGTTCGGATGCAGCCAAAGTTTCATGAGAACAGCTAGTTTTGTGATCTTTCAGTCATTTTGACAGCAGTCATGTAAAAACAGCTTGTAAAATCTCAGAGCCACTGAAACCAGCAAAGCTGGTGCTAGTGTGTGGCTCAAACCACATCTGGCTAAAATACTGAAGCCCCATGCAAGGAAGGGGTGCATTAAAGACAAAGAGTAAAGGCTCACATCTTGTGGTGAACAGGAATTAGTCAGCAGACAGCCCTTACTAATCAATAAGCAACGAAGATGAAATATAGAAACTTTTCTTGAACATGAAGAATAAAAAGACAATGCCAGCAGAAGCCACAAATGGCAACGTGCAAACATAAGGTCATCTACAAACAGGCTTTTTCATATCATATTCCCTACCTTGAAGAAATTAAAAGAAAAAGTGAAAGTTGCAAGACTGTGCTAGCTGCATTACTCAAATTCATTGCAATCTCTGTTGTATTAGTTTCATTTCATTCAGCTGCTGTTCTCAGTTTTTCCTTTTTCTTGATCTAGCATACCAGTTATCAGAAATGTGTGTATGCAAGTCAAACTTCTTCTTCTCCTGTGAATCTCCAGCAATCCATTGATACTTTAAGATAACCTTGAAAGTATCTTCTGCAATTATTTTACAGTAGAACACCAGAGTTACAAACTGACCGGTCAACCACATACCTCATTTGGAACTGGAAGTATGCAATCAGGCAGCAGCAGAGACAAAAGAAAGCAAATGCAGTACAGTGTTAAACGTGAACTACTAAAAAAATAAAGGGGAAGTTTAAAAAAAATTGACAAGGTAAGGAAACTGTTTCTGTGCTTGTTTCATTTAAATTGAGATGGTTAAAAGCAACTTTTTTCTTCTGCATAGTAAAGTTTCAAAGCTGTATTAAGTCAATGTTCAGTTGAGAACTTTTGAAAGAACCATGTCATTTTTTGTTCAGATTTATGAACATTTCAGAGTTACCAACAACCTCCATTCTTGAGGTGTTCATAACTCTGAGGTTCTACTGTACTCCATAGCTTCCTCTATTCACTCACACAGTAAGACCGACGTGGTTTTGTTCTGAGTGACGCCCGCAGTTTAACTGATTCATACTTTCTAAAAATAATACTATTCTCTATTGTCCAAATGTCATGGGGAATATTAAATAAGTTTAGTTAATCAAGAGAATTTTCCTCTTCAATTAAATAGAGACAGGTGCTGGACATAAACCCTGTTTTGAATAATGGGGGTTCAGTTAATTGAGATTTTATTGAAATGCACTCCACTGAACCAAAAGCCAACTGTCAGATGGCATGGAATTGTCATTAGTCATGTTACTGCAAAAGTTTGTGATTAAATTTACAACAGATTGCAGATTACTCTAAAGATGTAGGTAGATTAGGGTGTTTTTCATAGTATTAAATTTCAAACAGTATAAAGTACTATAGTAATTAAGAAAAATCAAGGTTAATTGTTTGATAGGGTACCATCTATAGATCCTGCCTGTCTCACATGAAGCTGAATTAGCTCTGCTATAGGACTATTTCAATTGAATCTCTCCCTTTATTCATCCATTCTAAACCAGGAAAGGAAAAATCCACTGCTGTCTTCTGCAAGTTAATTTAAATTGTAGGGAAGAACTGCAACATCTATAATACTCAATTAAATGGTTGCCACAATATATTATTTTTCTTTAAATATGAAAATAGTCAACAAGCATTTCTGCATGAGTCAAGCATCAGTTTAACTGCCCATGTTTTACTGTACTAGAATACAAAGGGCTTCAGAAGAAGAGGTCACTTATCTTGTACAGTAACTGGAGTTTGAAATGTTTGTTCTTACGGGGTCTCTATTTCAGGATATGCACATGCCTGTGCATACTTGATCGGAGATTTTCATCAGCGGAGTCCTAGATATCCTTGACCTTTGGTGCCATGGTAATAGGGCAGGAGTAGTGGACCCCTCACTGGTCCAG